AGCCAGCCAGCCAGCCAGCCAGCCAGCCATCCATCCATCCATCCATCCATCCATCCATCCATCCTCTTCTGCTTGTTCTCAAGTCAGGTCACGGGGGCAGCAGCTTGAGCAGGGAGGTCCAGACATCTCTTTCCACAGCCACCTCTTCCAGCTCTTCTGGGATGACCCCAAAGTGATCCCAGGCCAACTGAGAGACGGTCTCTCCAGTGTGTCCTGGGTCTTCCCCGGGGTCTCCTCTCAGTTGAACATGTCTGAAGCACCTCCCTAGGGAGGCGCCCAGGAAGCATCCTTACCAGAGCTTGAGGCCATTTAGGGTAGACTGACCAGTAAACAGAGAGCTTTGCCTTACAGCTCAGCTCTCTCTTCACCACAACGGACCAGTACAGAGTCCGCAATACTACAGTTGCTGCACCAATCCATCTGTCAATCTCACACTCTATTCTTCCCCCACTCGTGAACAAAACCCCGAGATACTTGAACTCCTCCACCTGAGGCAGAACCTCACCCTCGACCTGAAGAGAGCAATCCACCTTTTTCCAACTGAGGACCACGGCCTCAGATTTGGAGGTGCTGATTCTCATCCCAGATGCTTCACACTCGGCTATGAACTGCTCCAGTGAGAGCTGAAGATCACGGCACGATGACGCCAACAGGACCACTTCATCTGCAAACAGCAGAGATGGAATCCTGAGACCACCGAACTGGAATCCCTCGGTCCCCTGGCTGCACCGAGAAATCCTGTCCATAAAAGTTATGAACAGAATCGGTGACAACGGGCAGCCCTGCAGTCCAACTCCCACCCTGAAGGAGTTTGACTAACTACTGTCAATGTGAAGCAAACTCTCACACCGCTTGTTTAGGGACTGAACAGCCTGAAACAACGGGCCCCCAGTCCTCATGTACTTATAAAGCACTTTTATGTTTTATCAAGACACTCAAAGTGCTTTACAACACAATGTGTGCCCTCATTCATACAGACTCTATTAGATCTCTACAAAGAATAATCAGTGTCACATTCATACACCGATGGGACACACATCAGAGGCAATGAGGGGTTCAGTGTCTTGCCCAGAGACACTTCAGCATGTGACTGCTGGTGGAGTCAAACCCCCAACATTTCCATCGGAGGACGACCCCTCTAACCACTCAGCCACAGCCGCCCCATTTATTTATTTTTATTTTAACTTCCAGCTGCACAGAGGGATCCTCCTCTGAAATCCATCAGCAAACTAAAATAACGTGAAGCCTTTAATGCAAGCTGCTGAAACTCCCCCAAAGTGCAGTTCTGCAAACATTAAAGATTATGAGTCATTGAAAAAATGGATCTGCAAAAGATTAGGCAACACATTTTGATAAGGATTAAAAATCAATGCTTACTATTTAAACAACAACCCAAAAAAAAACAGTTAAAGTTTAAGAAAAGATCTCAGCCTTTATTAAAAAAAAAAGATGATTCACCACTAAATACCCAACAAACTGGTCTAAATTTTCCGTT